TGGGCAATTCATCAAATTAGAAAGACCTTGCCTCATATAAAAAGGTAAAAAACCCTACATTTAATTGTCAGTGCTTAAAAGTACTGGGACAATGGTAAGCTGGAATCCCACGGCTGGATAAATCCTTTTAGTTGATTTCACAGAAATTTGGCTCTCATTATTTTTTGGTAAGTATGTGCCATAATTCATAAATTAAGACAACCCCCCCACATACACACACACGTACACACACACAAACCCTCTGATAACTGGTTCTCTGGCAAAATCAGGCAAACTGGCAATGTGGAAGCCAGGCTCACAGAGCAGATCAGTGCAGCAGAGTGACTGCTAACTCTCAGTGGTGTCCAGAACCTGTCTGCAGCATTGTCCCTGTGTGCTGGGCATCATTTTCTCATCACTGCACTTGTTCTTTTCCCTTGTAACAGAGAAAAAACTACACATCTCACTTGGCTGACTGCCCGCCCCCCATGGGTGTCTATATTTGCAATCCACAATTTAAAAATCACAATCATTGAAAGCAAATAAAATATTTTTGCAATTATGTCTGTTATTTGATGGTCAATTTTCAAAGGCTAATAAATATTATTTTAAGCTTTGAAAACAGCCAAATGCAAAAGATTCACCCATATTATTGCTTCATATGATAGCTCAGCACTCAATTAGACTTTAGGGTTATTTTCTGCTCCAGACTGACCATTTTCAGTTTTTATCCCAAGAAAAATCAACACAGTTCCCAAGCACATCAACCTTTTAAGATACAGAGGGTTTTTTCCCCAGGCCATTCCTTTTAAAAAAAATTAATTTTTTTGGAAAAATGTATTTTCTTTCATTTCTATACTTCAGACAACTAACTTCTCAGCATAGTCATAAAGTCAGAGCATAAGCACACTATGAGCTTGTCATGAATTTTTACTACAGATATTTTCTCGAGTCTCTCACACCCAGCCATTCTTTCTGTCTCTGGCAGCATTTACCACTACGCACACACATCATACCACCCATGTCACTGTGGAGTTAGGGGATGGACCCCACTTGGAAAGTAAGTATCTAAAAAAACAGTAGATACTTAAAATATTAGTGAAATACAACATACTGATCATCATTATAGGTAAATGATGTCATTATAGTCAAAAAAGTTTCATCTGTATTTTCTATGAGACACCATAAAAGTTACTTTTTTGAGCTGGAATTTTATCTTCCCCATAGAATTCAGCCAATATAAAAATATGACAATAAAATAATCATGGACACATTCCTATTTTATATTTTAAAGAGAATTTTGTTGTAAAATTTTAAAATAAATTTTAAGTAAATTTTAAAATTTAAAATAAATTTTAAAATAAAATTTAAGATTCTATTTTATTACACGACATTCTGATCTTGTAAAAAATATTCATTCTGATTTCTCCAAATTCTCATTAAGGGCTCCTAAACTTATGCAGGTAATTTAGACATGTTATTGAGTGAGATTTAGGTCACTTCTAACTCATCATATTCAATATGTTTTAAGAAAACTCCCTAAGTGAAACATATAGTAGTAGTCCAACATCTATAGTGTTTACTAATTCATTGTGGAACAACTTACAAGATTGATTTCTGTCCGTATTCCTGCTATGAGGCCGTTTCTTCTGACTGCCATTCAGGAAAATTAAAAGCTGCTATTTTATTCACTCCCTGCAGTCAAATAAAAAGTCATGAGTTATCTCTCTGCCCAATATGAGACATCTCTACCGACTTCTCTTTAATTGCTGAGTTGTTTGAGTTTTCTCAAGGCACACTTTGCTGAGAATTTATCTCTTTAGCAAGGTAAACAATAACAGGTTGAAAAATGGAAAAGAGCCAATAAGAACTACAAGTTTATATTTGAACCTACCGGAATTAAGACATTTTCCATTCTGATCCGTATCATTAGAAACATGATAGGCACATATTCTACCTTTAAACGTAATTATTTAAAATATTTAGAATGTAAAGCCGAGCAACCTTCTTACTCTTGTTCTTAAATTCGAGAGTCTCACCAGATCACAAAAGATGCTTTGTGAATGAACAGTCTTTCTTGAAAGCAGATTCCCAAACGTTATAAATGTAGCAGACAAGAAGAATGCCATAAATGATCTCAAAAGTCAAGGATTATCACTATGTGAGCCACATACGGATCATCTATGTTCCATTAATTAAAGCATATTTTCTGGCAACCATTCCAGGATAAAATTCTATACCATGACCAGCATCAAAACACAAAGTAACTCAAAGTCTAAAATATTTCTTATTGCTAAATTACCAAATGTGAAAACAGCATTCGAAAAAAGATTTGTATGCATACATCTTACCATGCATCATATCATTCACTGTGCGAGAAAGAGAATAGCTGTCAGGGATGACCTTGCAAGTTACTGACTTTTAAGAAGGCTGTCTGGCAGATGGACTATGCTATTTCAGGATTTTAATTTCATTTTGTATTTCCTCCCTTCCACCTTCCTTGAAATACAATTGATACATACAAGTAGCATGCACATAATGAATGTTAGGTGTAAATGTGAGGATCTGACATAGGAATGCATTTTGTAGTGATTTCCATGATCGAGTCCATTAATATATCACTATCCCCAGTTACTGTATATGTACACTTAAAATCTGCTCACATCAAATTTTAAATAGACAATATCAACTCTACTGACTGTGTTGTTTAGTACTCCCTGAACTAAAATATTTCTTATTGCTAAATTACCAAATGTGAAAACAGCATTCGAAAAAAGAATGCAGACAGATTACTCTTCAGAATAATAGAAATAAAACTACTTTAAAAATATAGCTTAAAATATCCCACCCACAGAGTGGGAAAAATTATAGCCAGTTGTCCCTCAGACAAAAAATTTATATTTAGAATATACAAAGAATTGAAAAAAAAATAGTCCCCAAAATTCAAAGATCCTATCCAAAAAGGGGCATCTGTGATGAATACACACTTCTCAGATGAAGAAATGCAAACAGTACATAAATACATGAAAAAATGTTCAACATCATTAATCATTCAAGTGGTGTAAATTTAAACACTGAGATTCCATCTCAATCCAGACAAAATAGTACCTCCAAGAAATCAAACAATAACAAATGTTGGTGGGACTATGTGGAAAAAGAAACCCTTCTCCACTATCAGTAGGAGATGCAACAACTGTGGAAACCAGTGTGGAGATTCCTTAAAAACTAAGAGATCTCATTCAACAGAGTTATTTTCCTTTAGGATATCTTCCCGCCCAAAATTAAAAACATCATACCACAGCAATACATGTGCATCCATGCTTATAGCAACACAATTGTAATAGCTAAATCTTGGAAATAACCCGAATGCCCATCAGCTGAGGATTGGATAAAAAACTTGTGGACTTTTATATAATGGAGTACAATTCAGTCATAAAGACAGATAAACTTAAGACTCTTAGAGGTAAAAGGATGCAACTTGAGACCATGCTTGTTAAGTGAAGTAAATCAGACCCACACGTGGAAATACCATATTGTCTGACTAGTGTGACAAAGTGAATGAGTAAATGAGATCTAAAATGTGTAATAGACAGGGTGAATTGGAAAGAAATTGTTCAAAAGAAAAGAGAAACTAGGGTGGGGGGAAGGGGAAAGGAAGGAAGGGAAAAGGAAAAATACACATATACACACAAGATAGTTATGCGCCTACTTTCTCTGAGTTCACTGAAAAGAAATATTTTAGCTAATATTGTGCAAACAATATTTCATGTCTATGTTCTGTACTCTGAACAACTACTTTGATGATAATAATATGCAAAGCATTAGTTATTGTTATTCTAATAGCCTGTTTTGAAATTGCTTTATTTTTAAATTTTTTCTCTTTAAAATAAAAATTAAGAAAATGTTACTCTAGAAATGGTATGTTGTTAATGAATGACCTTTACTGATTATCTAAACTTAAAAGTTATATAAAATATCATTTATCTGGCACATTTTCATTTTGACAAATTTATCCTGCTTGCCATTTAAAATCCTTAGGAAGGATCACCTACCTAATAAACATACTCACAAGCAACGTAAACCACAGTGTTTATTTGAAAACAAAGAAGATACTATTTCTACAGCATTCAGGAACATTCCACAGAATGCAGAACCTTCAGGAGTGTTAGTCATGATTAACTGCAGTATTCTAGAACCAGATCCTCTAGGTTCAATTTCTGGCTCTGATGGCTTCCAGCCGTACTACCATCCATTCTTTAGCTTCATCATCTGAAAAATAGTCCTATACACATAAGAATATTGAGGAAAACTGTTGTGACATCAAAATCTATAAAGTTTAATCAAATTCTTATAAAATAATATACTAAAATCATTTACTTTTAAATATAAAATTCTTAAACATGTAATTCCAATAAAAAACACTGTTTGAGACACAGATTAAGCTTTTTTGTAATAAATCTCACATTGTAATTTTATAGTAAATTAGCATATATTTTCTCAAAAATCTTAGCTAGTCATACTCAAAATTTTATCAAAACAAGTAAAAATACAAATAACAATAAAACAGTGCTGTCCTTTACCAGACAAGGAGAAGACGGGCTGTATAAAAGAGTTGCTTGAGATGAGTCTCAAGTATAGTAAAATACTATATCTGACATTTGTAAAGTACTAAAGTAACTATAATATGGGGCATAAAAGAATAGTGATCTAGGGCCCAGGAGAGGAAACTGAGCTAGACTTGGAGGTCAATAGCGTGTGGATGACATGTGAAACGATAAATAAGTAAGAACACCTAAGGAGAGACGAGAAGGAGAGGATCCATAGATTAGACCGAGTAATTAAGCTTAAATATGTGGCAGAGGAGGAAATGCTGGGAAAACAGGCCCAGCACCATCTACTGCACTACAGCGATTCTTCAAAAGAAACTAGGAAAACCATTACTGTTGGTAAAGGTGATAAAATTAAAAATCAGAGAAATTGAGTTCAGATTTGACAAGAATATTACTTTTTCCCTTTAACAGTAGCAATTTTCACTAACTGATGTGGTAACAAGAAAGACTGTGAGACTTGGAGAATATGCAATATCTGTAGCCAACTCTTAGAAGTATGAACATAAAAGGAACAAACAAATGAAGTTCAAAGGTAAGTTTTGCCTTCCTATATCCCCTCAATTTAATAAAGGGTTTTTTTTTTCCACTTGGTCACAGCCTAAAGACCTTCATGAAACAAGTTCTTACTTTAATGCATTGTTACAGCTCTGCAGTCAAATAGCCTCCTCTTGGCTGCAACCAACAGGAATCCAGAAGTAACCTACTAAAGCTTTCAGAATTAGGTAAATGCTCAATTAATGAAATATTATTTGAATAAGTAATAATAATATTATGCAGTGATATTTTTGAACAGTAAACAACAACCTACAAAACTCCCAAGTCTAATTTTCACGAACCCTCTATAAAATATTTATTAAAGACTCCAAAAAGAAACAACTGCATAGAGAGAAACATGCTTCCACTGAATTTTAATTAGCTAAGTTCACACCTCATTCAGTCTTCCATAGTTTTTACCTAATATACATTTTCTCTCAAATGATTTCATTCAAAATGCTATAGAACACTTGCTTATTATGTCTTAGGTCCGTCTAGGTTGTGACAGTTTCTCAGCCTTCCTTTCTTTTACGTGACCTTCCTTTCTTTTTTTTGTAAACTGTGAGACATAATGATATTTTGTAGATAACCCCTGAGCTGAGATTTGCTTGATGTTTTTCTCCCGAGTAGGCCAGAGGTGTTGGTTTGGGTGAATCCATTAGAAGCAAGGTTCCATTTTTCTCATCACTTCATATCAAAGGTGCATGGCTTATTACTTTTAAAGTTGGTAGGCTCTCCTGGCTGAGATGTGTTTCTTGTGTTTCTCTTCTATAGCTACTTTTTTTTTCACTTTCACACTGCAATATTTGAATGGAATTTTTAAGACTCCATGTAAAGAGTCAGGAGTGATACTCCATTTTCTTTAAGATGAAATATTTACAAGAGCTACTGTATTATCATTTATTTAAAACTTTGTGGATTCATGGATATTTATGTTGGTTTACAATCCAATACTAAATTATTTATTTTTGCTATTCGAATCATTCCAAATTTGTAATTAAGAGATCTTACATTTGGTTCCTTTGCATACCTACACTATTACAGTTGTGTGTGTGTGTGTGTGTGTGTGTGTGTGTGTGTGTGTGTTTGTCCTTACCTTCTGATACTACTACCTGTTGTTTTAGGCTCATTTATTTCCTGCTCCAGTTCTAGAATCAACCATTTTCTAAGAAGCTCTGGCTGCTTCTACTTTACAAAGGTAATAGAAACCAAGGTCCAGGCAGTAGATACGCTACTAGAGTTGTTGTTTCTAGGCCCTATCAATTCAAAGATCAAAGAAATATAGGTGAGATATGTGAGTATGCTAACTCATGATAAATAGTATTTCCAAGAGTAAGTTTCTATATGTATATTAACCTAAAAATTAATTCATGCTAGTTTCTGCCACACATGAATCATTCTAGCTTCCCCTTGATTATCTGTAATTTTATATGCCAAAGCGGGAAGTGTGTCTTTCAGCATTCTTTATTATTTAACACATTGTTCACTTTCTGTGTAGTAGTATTAGCACTGCTATCGCTACTTCATTGGAAACAACTTTATCAACTGCTGTGCTCATGTGAAATTGATTATGCCTTTAATTTTCTGCACTGTATTTATATCCAGAGTAAGTTACTACTCTTTATTCACCATTTCAGTAAGATTCTTACACATATTTGTAATGTAATTATATTATTTCATCTTTGTGTGTATTTTATTCTGAAATTCTCCTAACTTCCAGAATAATTCTTAAAAATGTATATTCATTAATTTTTACTCAATGTGCTTTAAAGTTCTATGAATCCTGACTAATACATAGTTTTACACATCCACCATTAAAGTATAATATAAAATTGTTTACCAACTTAAACTAAGGCTGTGCTTCATCTATTGAATCTTTATTCTCTCCCCATGAACCACCAGCACCCGCTGATCTTCTTATGATCTCTCTAATTTTATCTTTTGTAGAATGCCATATAATTAGAGTCACGTAGTTTGCAGCATTTTGATTGCCTTCTTTTAATTCACAGTATGCATTTTAGACCTAACCATGTTTTTGCATGGCTTGTTAGCTCACTTATTTTTATTTCTGAATAATATTCCATTGCATCAACATGCCAAAATTTGTGGCTTTCTTCACCTTTTTTAAGGGATATTGTAACTCTGTGTTTTGGGACAAATATTAATCAAGCTATAATAAACATCTGCATGCATACTTTTGAAAGAGCATATATTTTTGTATTAGTTAGATAAATATGTAGGAACCTGATTTTTGAGTAGACTGAAAATTATCCAGCACTTGTCAGACTATTTTCAGTGGGCCTATACCACTTTACATTTCTTCCAGAAATGAATAATAAGTATTTCTTCTCTACATTCTCACCAGAAATGGTGGTCAGTTTTCTGGATTGTAGTCCTACTAAGAGGAATGTAGTAGGATCTCCTTGTTTATTTTCATTTGCTCCTCTCTAATGAGAAATGCTAGCTAGAGTTTTTGCATATGCTTATTTTCCATCTGTATTTTTTGATGAGGTATTTTCAGATGGTTTGCCCATTTCTTAATTGAATTGTTTGTTTTCTTTTTGTTCAGTTTTGAGTTCTTTGTATATTTTGGATGTAAGTCTTTTATCAGATATGTGTTTCACAAATATTTTCTCCCAACCTCTGGCTTGTCTTTTCATTCTCTTAACAGTTTATTTCAAAGAAAAATAAATTTTGTTTTAATAAAATTCCAAACAACAATTTTTTTCTTTTATGGATCATACTTTGGTATCATATTAAAAACTCAACACCAGATTCAAGTTCATGTAGAATTTCTCCTATATTTTATTGTAAAAGTTTTATAGTCTAGCACTTTAAATTTAGTTCTATAATAACTTTTCGGTTAACTTTGGTGAAACGTGTAAGGTTTGTGCACGTGCTCAGTTTTTTGACTGAATATCCAGTTTTTTCATTTGTTAAAAAATCTACCCTATGTAAAATTTTCTTTGTCCATTTGTAAAGGTTACTTGATCCTGCTCCAGTGGCAAAATGTCTGTTCTTGCAGTAATATTACACTATCTCGATTATTCTTAAGTATTATAGTTTTCCAATTTTGTCCTTTCCCTTTAGAATAACTTTGGGTATTCTATGTCTTTTAGTTTGCAATATAAATCAGTTAGTCAATATCTTAATATTACTTGCTGTGATTGTGCTTGACATTGTATTTAATCACTAATTTCAGAAGAATTAACCCTTTTAACAAATTGACTTTCTTAATCTAAATATGGAGTATCTTTCCATTTATTTAGAGCTTCTTTGATTTCCTTCATCAGAATTTTATCATTTTCTACATGTAGATTTGATATCTATTTCCATCTGTATCTATCTTTATCATCTTAGTTACTTTTTCCCATTGCTGACTCAAAATGCATTACACTCAAAGTTATAGCAGGAAAAGTTTATTTAGCTTACAGTTCATAGAGGTTTCAGCTCATAGTTGTCTGGCTTCGCATAGTAGGCTGGTTCCGAGGAGGCAATGTGACAGAGAGGTGTCAGAGAAAAGAACGTGGTTATGGTTGGCAGAATGCAGGAACAAAGTAGCCCAAAATCAGAAAGCACTAGGTGATCCAGCAGCCCTCTTTCTGTCCATTATACTCTATCCTTGTTACATGCCCTTAGCGCAGGTAGTACTCACATCCAGGGCTGGCTTTCCCATCCTCTACTCCCAGAGCTATGCAAAACCAATCAGTAGCTTAATTTAGTAATTGTACACCCTTGATCCCAGCATCATGCACTCAAACCATTTCTGAAAAGCCCCACGTATGACCATATGAAGCTTAGGGAGTGTCTAGGCACAAATATATGTATTTTGCAAGAATTTGGTTTGGGAAGAATTATAGTCTTTTGCTTTAAATTCCAATTGTTCACTGTTAGTATGTAGGAAAGTAATTGATTTCTGTGTATTCAGTTTTATCTTGGGACCTCACTATGCCTATTACTTTGAGAGAATTTTGTCAATTGTTTGGGATTTTCTACAAAGACCATCATGCCATCTGTGAATAAAAATAGCCTTATTTTTTTCCAATCTATACAAATATAATTTCCCTTCTTTTTCTTATTATAGCAGCTATAATTTCCAACATAATGTTAAGCAGAAGTGACTCCTTTGATATATTCCTAGTATTAAAAGAAAGTATCTAATTTTCACAAAAGCTAGTTATCCATAGTTTAGCAAATGTTCTTTTCAAATTGATGATATTCCCCTCTATTTCTAGTTTGCTGAGAGATTTTTATTTTAGTTTTCTTTTTTGTTCTTATATCTTTATCTGGTTTTGATGTTAAGGGATTTCTAGTCTCATAGCATTTGACAACAACTATATCCTTACAAATTTTTCCCTTTTTGATGAATTAATTACTGAAAAATAGGTATTGAAATCTTCAACTTCAAGAGCATATTTGTCTATTTTTTTAGTTACATAAATTTTCACGTATATTTGAGACAGCATTTGTAAGTGAATACTCCTTAAGGATCTTCATATCTTCCTAGTGGATTAACTCCTCTGTCCTTCTGTAATTTTCTTCTTTATTTCTTCTTCTGATGTCTACTTTATCTAAAATTATTACAGCTGGGTTATCATTGTTTTGGTTAGTTTTAATATGCTATATCTTGGCCTTTACTTTTAATGTGTCTTCTACAGCAAATATGTAGTTGAGTCTTCTAAAGACTACCCACCGACAGTGTCTTCCAGTTGATACATCATTCATTTTGAACACAATTGTTCAAACTGTTGATTTGCTACTTGTCCTGTTTTTATGTATGTTGGCATACTACTTACCATGTTTGTAACTATGTATTTCTTATTTCTTATATTTTCTTTTTTCTTTTTCAGATTTCTATGACTTTAATAAAACATTTTTATAAAATTTCATTGCATAATATTTATTAGCATATAAATTATACTTTTTTGTTTAATATTTTATGGGTTACTCTGAAGTTTATTATATGCTTTTAAAAAATCTCTGTTGACTTTTTTTAAT